TTCCAGATTTTCTGTGTTGGATATCTTGGTAGTAGCTGTTAACCAGGATACTACATATAAAAAAGAAGGTTTGGATATAGTGAGTGCAAGGATTGAATGAGAAGGAGAGGATAGCAATATTTAATTTAGTTTGGGACCTCTTGGGCCAAGATACCAGTTGTCCACCATAGCTACATAAATAAGTTAATAATGAGCCATCTAGGTAAAATAGTTTAAAAATATACCCATTGGTTAAATCTCTTGGAAATACTAACACAATAATTGGACAAAAGACATTTTTAAAAGATGTCTGCCAAAATAATGATTCTATTCCAGTGGTTGGGCAATTATCTTTTTTGTCTATTGAGATCAATCTTAGCTTTTGAAAAGAAAGCCAATTAATATATTTAAGAGTGAGTACTGGTTTTCCTTCCATGTCCTCTTTCTCTACAGCTTGATGGTCAAATTTCTTCAGTCCTATATATTGCTTTACCTCTGTGGCAGACACAGCTCTGGATTTACCAGATCAAACAGTGTTTTGCTTCTGTATATAGACATATATACTGGTCTGCTTTCCTATTTTCCGTTGAATGTTGATGGAGTCTTGTTACTGACTTTTGACCTATGGAATGCAGGCAAAAGAGGTTATGTGCTCCTTCTAGAATTGGCTCCTGAAAATATTTTTGACATGATGTTCTGGTCCTCTTTTTAAAAATCTGGATCAAGGTACAAGGAATCTGGGTGAGAACTCCAAATTCAGGGGTTGACTGAACCATAAGATGGAAGCTTGGCAAGTACCATCAATATACAGATACATTCCCATTCTGTTACCAGTCCAGATCTTTCTCCTGCTCTTTAGGATTCTATATCCAATTGCTTACTGGGTATTTTTACTTAGAAGGAAACTAAAGATGGATTTTGCTTACATTTTATTATTGCCAAGTTCTGGCCTGGACTACACGAATTTATTTTCTAACTCATTTAACTTGATGAAATGGGTTGACTTGAATTTCATTAGCATATTGCTGGCTTAATTAAATAGTGTTTTAGAGAAAACTGAGTCTTGGTTTTATATAACATAAAGTCTTGGTTTTATATAATAAGTACTGAAAGATAAGTACAAAATGAGTCTACTAAGTAAATTACTCAGGAATTGTTTTCTTACCACTCGTAGTTTAATAGTAAAACTAAGTGAAGAAATTTAGTGTTTTAGGAATGAATCAGGAACTACAAAAGAAAAATTCTGGGAAAAACCCTACTGTTCCCTTCAAAATTCCTTCAATTATATAATTTTTTTTGGAGCTTCCTCCAAATGCCTATTTATTAACATTATAATTGACAGCAGTTGTGGGTTATGCCGACACCTAATAGCAAAAACTTTGAGTATTAGATATAAAGTTCTCAATTTGGGATATTGTTTTTTTCTTCAGTTTTGCATTCAAGTTAAGGAAAAGTCACCACTTTAGTGTACTTGAATGAGTCCCTAATCATTGATAGAAAAACAAACAAACATTCTGTGAATTCTTCAAGTTGTACTTTTCTTAGAAGTGGGTGGTGAATTGGAAAGAGACCTGAAGTGGGCATGAGATGTCATGAAAAAAAATATTTTAAACTTAATTCTTCAGCTAGCTAGATGATTGTAACTGGATGAATCACTTAATTTGTTGATATCCCTTTCTGGGTGAGAAAAAAAAAGAGCTATAGCATTTGTAAGGTTCCATTTGACTCCCAAATCCTGTAACTCTATGAGTATTTATTATCTATTTGTTTTGGAGATCAAATTCAAATATTATTAGAAGACAAAGATAATTACTAGTATTAAGGTCATATTAAGGAAGAATAGATTCCTTTTTGTTGACCATATATTTTGTTGGCTAAAGTAAACCTGTAGTCTGAGAAAATATAAATATTTAATGGTATAAAGCTGTTTTTCAAGTCCTTAACCCAAATCTCCACCATGAACTATGACAGAGGAAGACTGATATTACTATAGGAACACCAGATTACTATCTAAGGAAGCAGTGATAAAATTGCATGTCACTGTTGTAATGAAAAATTGCTGGAAAGTGGATTACAAAGTTCAGTTCCCAAATGCCAGATCTGGTGCAAGTTCCAACATTTGAGGTCAGTATGTATGCACAAAATGATCACTTTTATAACTCTTTACTTTTTTTTTTAAACAAGATAGAAAAATTTGAAGAGTACATAATTTAAATTAGGGATAATTTAAGGTGGAGCTTTTATTACTGGCTTTTGTATTGATTTGAGGTAGAACTTTGTATGAGATTATAAGATTCTATTTTCATATATTTAATAAAAGAAATAACACAAATGATATATGAAAATTAATTTAAAATTGTATTCTGTTTTTAAAGATCTTTTTATGAAAAGAACTATATAAAACCTTTATCGCATAGAATAGAAATAAAATAAAAAAAAAACAAAAAAATCCCCAGCTGTTCCTATATTGTGCCTCAACTAGAAAACTATGCTAATGGATTTTACAGATTATTGCATAAAATGTAAACTTTCTTAAAAATATCCATCACTTTTTCTCAGGTTGGTTGAGGCAGAGAATAGCTATTGTTAGCTTAGTGAATTGCTTATTGCAGAGATTTTATCCTGTGTATACTTTTCTGAGAACAGTAAGGTGAGAGATGATTATAAGAGATCAATATTAAATGACAACAAGACATATCTTTCCTTTATAAAAGAGTGAAGCAATAATTTATTATTCATTACATTGTGAAAGTAAAAGGTTAGTCAGTAGTAATATAATGATTCTAGAAGGTAAAGGAGAGGCTTTAAAACCTTCTATTGATTCTGTATCATGCATGCTCTATTACACTGTGATAACTCCCTGAAGTACAGCTCTTTACTCTTTCTTCAGGGAGTGTTTCAGATCTCAAAGTAGAGAGAGCATTTATCTCCTCTGTATATTCATTTATATGCCTTCATCAGTATTTAACTCTGGCAGAATGGGAGTGCATGTTTAGGCTTTTTTATTGACTTGATGGCCAGCCTTGCCGCTCTACCTTGTAGTTGTATTTGGAATGGATCACCATCAAGTGGACAGGATTTGTTGTCCGTTTTCTCCCTCACCTACCCAGGGGATCTTCCCTGCTGCCTGGCTGCTAGCTGTTGTGTTGTTATCCTGTCAGCTTGTTTAGGCAAGGACTATTCTGTTTTATCCTTCATAGTTCAACAGGGTCTAGTATCTCAAGATTTGTCACATAAATGAACAAACGATCATCTAATTCATCATGAGCAGTATGTTCTAAATATATATATATTTCCACATTAGGAAAAAATTCTAGGAGGGAATAATACTTAACCTAAAGCATTGACTCACTGATGACAGAACTTCAGACATCAGGAGAAAGGATGATTTAGGAGAAAGGATGAGAGGGAGGCCTGGCTGGGGTCTTTGGTCCACAGGAAGACCTGCACCACTGCTGTCTTCACACAGATTAACTCAGAAGACAAAGGAGCTCTGGCTAAGCTGGTAGCAGCCATCAGGACCAATTACAATGACAGATACGATGAGATCCGCTGCCACTGGGGAAGTAATGTCCTGGGTCCAAAGTCAGTGGCTTGCATCGCCAACTGGAAAAGGTAAAAACTAAAAACTGCCCACCCAACTGGGCTGAGTGGACACTGTTGAATATTCTGTATATAAAAGTAATAAAAAGTTCTCTTTCAAAAAAAAAAAAAAAAGAAAGAAAGAAAGAAGGGATGAGAGGGACATGTGTGACTTCAATCATATGATGCAAAATTTCCACATTATTTCACTTTATTTAGAGCAGTCCTTGATTTGAGAAATCTACCCCAAAATCTAGGTAAGAAAAGTTTAGGACAGAGCGCTTAGAAAATGAATGGGGAGATTTGGCATCATCTCAATTTTATGAGTGGCATCTTAAAGCTCTTAGGATTTGGTCCTTTAATACTATCGCCACCTTGGAAAGAAAGGCCTTGTGGTGCCAGAAATACCATTGCCTTAAGTCATTCAGTACCAGCAAACACTGATGCAACAGCTTGTTCTTTGGGTCCTAATTCCTGATTTAGATTAGTCCCTGACTTCTGCTCATATTTTCTCTCCAATCCAGTTTTGACTTCACTAGTGATATCGATTGCCTAATACCTGATTGGGTCAATCTCCTGGAATTGCTCTAAAGCCCTACCAGCTCTGTTTTGGCATCAAGCCTGATTGACTGTTCAAGCAGCCCTCTTCTGCCCCCTTCTGTCACAAGCCTGCAAGTGCAAGCTGGGCCCTGGTAACTTGATCTTCGTTTTACTGAGAGAACAAGAGACCAAGTGTATCCACTTAAGTTTCCTCAGCAACCTAGTAGCTGACTGAAAAACTGGGGAGAGTAAGACTTCATTCAAGACTCGATGAAAGAGTCCATTCAGTGAAGGGCCCAGGGCTAGTCACGTGTCTGATGCCTCCCTATACCGACATAGTAGAGGATAATGTTCTGCTTTTCATATTAAACATTTGAAATGAAAATGAACATCAGAATAAACACTGGCGCCTAACAATTCCTTGTATCTCTACTTTGCTATGAAATGCTTGAGTTATTTTCATGGGCAGAGTAATGTCAACATGAGTAACATTTCTTGAAGCAGAAAAACATACTAAAAAATGAAAGTGACTTTTTTCTATTAATTAAAGTGCTTTACTAGCAACTGAAGCTAGTAGATGTTGTCTGCCATACATATGTGTGTGTGCTCCCTCACTCTCTCTTAAAGAAAAAATAAAGCTGTAGGAAAAATATCATCTAGCTTTAAAATTCAGATTGGATTTAAATAGCAGCAACTGTATAAAGGGAAGATTTTGAGGATGATGTCAGTTAAATTGCACTCATAAATAAAAAAAAAAACTTGACAAAGACTCGAATTTGGCTGAACTTTAAGTGGAGGTTTATATCAATTACAAGGTAAGAAATCTTCTACTTCTTCTAATGCTGTTCCATAGAGAGAAGTTGACAATAAAAAAGGTATCCTATCCTATTTTATCTTACCAGTAAAGACGATGGGCAATCTGGATGCTTTGCAATGAACGGTGCAATAGGAGTTGTACCAGAGGACTTTCAAGGTTCCATTCAAACTTGACAGCCTGAAGTAAGAGATATAATTAATTTACACTTCTCGGTAACAAAATTCTAGCAGAATACAAAAGGCCTAATGAGGTTTATGAAAAGGCAAAGGAAAACAGCATAAACATTTTAACAGAATGTTAAAATTATATTGGATATTTGATTATATTTGATATATTATAAGATAACCTTATTAGCTGGTGTGTAACGTAGCACACACACATCACAGTTTGGATTTGTGAAGTCTCTTTCTCATTTATGCTTTAGTATCACAGGATAATAAATAAGAGCAGATGGTTGGTGGAGTTCAACCATGCCTAGAAGGAAAATCCTGGCACACACAAAAATACATAGTATGATTAGTGTCCTAGATATAAAAATAGCATTATTCAACAGTAGAGACTTCTCCTCTTAGGGGAATGAAATTAATGCACATTCAAAGCCTTAACAGAAATCACCAATTGATACAGCAGTATTATCCTGCAGAACCTGAAACTTGAGAGATTTCAGAGCTGATTGGTGCTACCCAAGTCGACATCTCTCCAAATCTTTTCCCTCATCTCTACTGTGAACAGCTCCTTATGATTTTCTAGGAAACCCAACCTGGTGGAAAATACAGGCAGTAATGTCAGCCCCTAATATCTTTATGGGCCTAATTCAGATTAGGTACTCTGCAGGGGCTTCCCCGTCCACAGAGAGTACCTGGGTCTCATCATTCTTCCAGAAATCTGAACATATTTGAAAATGAAAAACAGGCTCTCTTCATAAAAATTTCCTTCCCTGTTTAAGATGCAAAGCTTCTATCTTTAGTTGCTCAATAGCCATTTAAGTCACACACAGCGCCCCCCCACCCGACACACACACAGAGTTCAAGCCAGGTTTTTATACCACCGTACAGACAGCAGACAAAAGTGGGCACAAAACACATTTACATACACACCTGAAGAAATGCTTCAATATGCTGACCATACTCAAGGATGGGAAACTTTATGAATTCCTAAGGTGCCAAAGAGGATTTCAGCTAATTTGCATAAACTCTTAGTGCTGTCTGGATGTATAAAGACCATAATATATGTTCTCTTAAACTGCAGCCATGGCTTGCTTTCACTTACTTGCTAATACTAGCTGACCAGGTCGTAAGTTGTGTTGATGCCCTAATAACATATCACATGAGCACACAAGCAAGAGAGAGATATCTTAGAATTTATTTCCGTGCTTGTCTTTTTAGCTTTCCTTTTAGATTTCCCCATTGTTTCTTCTTGAATAAATATTTGTTGCTTTTAAATTGCTTCACTTGTTTCCAGACTCCCTGTATCACTCTGTGCACTGGTACAATTTCCCCCTCACTCCTCCTTCACCATCTAGGAGGCTGGCAATATTTCTGGTGTACACTGCATTATTATGAACTGTTCTTGGAACCTACCCACAGAGTGTTGACCTGCGGTTTGCTGTAACCTCTGGGTCCAGGTCTAAATTATTTTCTGGCTATGAACAACATGTTCTGTTTTTGTTATGGACTTAGAGTCCTGTCTTATTTCTTTAATATGTCTTGCATAATTCTAACAATATAATACATAACAAAGTAACATACTTCAAGAAAATAATCAGTAGGGTAGAATTTTGTGTGTTTCAAAAGTTTTTATGTGCTTCAAGTTTTGAAGTTAGGGGAGAGCATGGGGCAAATTCTGTAATAAATGTTTTGAAAATTCCTCCCAGTTTTATTTTCCAGTCATTTTTTTCCATCCCAAAACATTCTATTATCTTCATTTTTAATTGGAGAGTCATTGCTGCACTTCCTAATTTTACTTCTGTGTATTTGCTATGTTGGGTTCTGTGTGCGTCTTGTCATATGAATTTGGATTTGCAGGTATATGGCTCTCAGTGATATCCCTGGTGGCGAGTGCGTTGCTTATGTATTCTGACTGCCATTTTCAAATGGGTTTAGTATACATAAAATTTTGTAAAAACTTACTTTTTTGATTTAGGTTAGATAGAGCATGCTGCCAATACTCATGAATCATGAGATGAAGTGTTCCTACAAGTTTGATTAATTTTTATTTGCACTACACTAACCTGAAAAGTATAGAAAAATCACAACTGTGAAATCTGTATAAGTAACTATATGGTATAGCTATTTCGAAACCAGCTTTCACTTTAGGAGTCCTTGAGAGAAGTGCATATTCCATGTGCAAAACAAGTTCTCTGTCCTAGGGGCACTGGGGTAGCTCAGTTGGTTAAACCGTTAAGTGTCTGACTTCAGCTCAATTCATGATCTCAGGGTCCTGGGATCAAGCCCCACATCAGGTTCTGTGCTCAGCGGGCAGTCTGCTTCTCCCTCTGCTCATTCCCCCTCCACCCCAATTGTGCTCTCTCTCAAATAAATAAAATCTTTTTAAAAAAGTTCTCTGTCTTAAATGTTCAAAAACTAAGTCACTTGGCATTTAAGATATCTTGTAATTATAATCTGACCTTTCAGATAAGAAAACATCAGAGTTAAAAAACAAAACAAAAACCGAAAAGCATAAAGGTCGCTATATTAGAACTACCCATCCAGCCCTCATCACATAGTCAACTTGGGAAAACAATATTATTTGTAATTTTGATATTCAATCATTTACATGGTCATTTGCAAGATATATGGTTGTTTCTATTTCAAAATATTAACACCGAATCAGTCTTTGCTCATATTTCTATATTTCATTTATGTGGCCATATTATTTCCTAAAATAACTCCAACGTTGTGATATTTAATGTTGTGGCTAATATGCAGTATCTGTTGGCAGAATTCAGGTATTATCTTATAAAACCACTTTTATAGATTGATAATCAATGTTAGAATGGTCTAAGAGAAAGGCAAGAAACCCATATATTATGAGGAGCTGCCTAGAAAAGACTATTTTCTAAGTAACATTCATTTTATTTTTAATTGTTCTACATAGTTAGATGGAAAGATTTCATCACCATTATTTCTATATTTTGCCCCAACTCTAAATAATAATTTTTTTTTTTTTAATGTCCTCTTTGGCTCTTACAGATCGTTTCTGTAACTATCAGTTTGGGCTAAAGAATGTCTATGTTACCTATGTTGACACACGAGCTATAATTTAGTCTCTGGCTTGCCAAATTACAATACCACTTTATATAGTCTAGTGTTGACTTACTGGAAACTCTTTTTAGAGGATTATTAGTTAAAATCCTAGAATCCTTTGGAAACTCTGCTGTTCTTACCTGAACTAGCTGTGGGAGATATTCCAGTAGTTCATCATTCAAAAGGTTGTCTAATTGCTGAACAGCCACTTTACGAATTTCTTGATCTGGAAAACTAACACAAAGTAAATGTATTTATTGAGCTATTAATGGTATGGAGTAATCTATGAAAAATGTCAGGGAGAAGAGGGAATGAATTCTACCCCCAGCACATAAGATAACATCATAATCTCACAATCAATTAAGATGACTATTAGCACCAACTTATTGTTTTTCCACATTCTGTACTCTCAGGTGGAATGCAATAAAAAGCCTTTTCAACTAGATTTTGGAAACTTGGGTTTAAGTCAGAAATTGCCAGCTTCCTTGTCTATAAAAAATCATAGGATATCTAAAATCTTTCTAAAGTGTATGAAAATCTTTGCTTATCATTTAGCAATGCATTTGTTAAGTAAATTATTACCAGCTAGAGACCTGATGGTTCATATGATTAAAAAATGGGATATAATATATTTAGATGAGTTTTGGCCAGATCATAATGAGAAACCAGAAATTTAATAAACAAAAGTACTTTCATAAGACTAACTCTTACCAGGATACGAAGACCTTGAGGGTAACTGTGTCTTATTCATTTTCGGACTGCAAATATCTGTTTTAAGGTTTAGCACCCATTAGACACTCAATAAATATTTGTTGCTGAACTAAATTCATGGAAGTATTTAGCATCTGAATATCTACCCTCAAAACAATTAATCCTCAAATGGGCTCCTCAGGCTCCATCATCTTGCTTCCACCAGAAGAATTAAATACAGTTATCTCCAAGATCCTGGCAAGTGCCTAGAGATAACTTTTGGCACCACACCGTTTTGACATGCTTTTGACATACGGCTTTGACAGGATTAGCTATAACTGGGCTTTGGTAAGAACAATTAATTTTAAATAAGTTTTCAGAAAAAAAATGATATGCCTAATTTTAAACTTGAAGGAACTACTTATAGTAACTGAAACTGGTTGAAAAACAAGAAAAAAATAAACAAACAAAAGTCAAAAATCCTTTTGCATGGAAACAAACTGAATGCTTTCAACCAATCAAGTGAGAGCTCTGAAGATTGGCTCTTAATATTAAGGAGGTTAGGAAACTTTAGAGTCTTCACTGTCCAGTCTCTTCTGCATATCAGGTTACTCAAGAGTGAAATGAATACTATGCAGTTACAGTGTCAAGGAAAACTGGTATTACTTAGTATCTCTCAACTGTCCTTAGCAGTTTGAAATGTAATGTTTAAATGTAATGTTTTACATATTTTTCTTAAATTAAACTGAGCATTTTAATTGCAACAAAAATTTCACTTGCATGGTTATGCACTCGAAACCCTTATTTCTCACCTGCAAATACTTTTCCAATAATTTTCTCCCTTCGAACAATCCAGCAGTAAGACCCAGCAAGAACAGCAGTCCAGACACATCTCCTGAAGTACTGCTAAGGTCAGAAGATCCCAGCATAGCATCAAGTGCAGGTAGAAAGCAGAGAGGGTGCAATAAAAATGCAAAGCTAGAAGAAGGTCAGCTTGTTTTAGCACACTGAGACTACTTTCTCCTAACTAAATGTGATTGATTCTAATTTATTGCTCTCAATTACTAAACCATTTGTCTGAAGCCTGTAGACATCAAGGACAGTTTGAGGACAGTTTGAAGTCTTAGAGGGAATAGTTACTCGAACATTTTGCTGCCTAAGTGATGAGGTAAGTCAGATAGGAGTCACCCATGCTTTCTTTTGTACTTATTTTACCTTATGGATATGAATGACAATAGAGAAAGAAAAATAGAAACAAACATCACAATAAAATAGAACTCTTCGGTGAACACTATACCCTTAATTATGTATTTATTTCCAAATACTAGAATGTAAACTCCATGAAAGCAGAAAATTTTTGCCTGTTTTGTTCATGGGTGTGTCCCAGCTATCTCCAGATTGGTAAATATGCTCTACATGTTAGTTTGCAGAATGTCTAAACTGAATTCTCTTTCCACCTAAAACATTTCTACTGCTAGACTTTTCTCTCGTGGTCTGTGTTACTATCTTTCTCCAATCATGCAAGTGTAAAATTTTGAGTCATGTTTTCCCCCTTTTTTGCCCTCTTCATTGAATTTTCTACCCTTTCCCATCTGGCAAAATTCTATTCATCTTTGAAGTCAAAACTCAAGGACCTGTTTATCGGAGGAGGTGTTCCAGCTCCTTGGTAGAGTTTATCACAGTCTTCTCAGTGGGATTCTATATTATGTACTTGGTTGAAGGCAGGCTCATTCATTATGAATCCCTGATGCAAGCACAGCTGAATAATAAGTTCCTAGTAGTCTCTTCTCTTCATATCTAATCAGTTGCCAAGTTCAGTCGGCTTTTTTTTATCCTAATGGTACTCTAGCATTATGCTTGTTTTCAGTTTCTTCTGTAACTAGCTAGTCGAAGCCACAATTATCTCATGCTGGTACTAACATTTTTCGTAGTAATACCTTATAAATTCCCTAAGTTATTTCTAAATTCATTTCTCATAAAACATTAAATGGGTTTCTATTTCCAATGTACCTCTCTTAGTCCCATACTGCTTATCTAGATAGCCAAGGCTAGATGAACATCAGATTTTTCTCCTACTGTAATACTGACTAAACTGCTTTGGCTCACTGGTTATTTTACTCTGAAAATGTCATGTGCATTCTCTCCTTTGTGGAACAGCTTTTCTTTTCTTGTTAAAGTTCCAGTCCTCCTTCAAACGTGGTTCAAATCCTCTTAAAGGTGACCATCCCAATCTTTACTAATCACTTTTCTGAACTCCAAGGGTGTTGACTGGCTGACTCCACTGGGCAATTAAGCTATGTTAGTGTTTATTAGAATTTATCTTTTTTTATATATGTGCCATCATTCCTCAACTAGTGAATAAATCAACTGAAGATAAGAATTGTTCAGTCCTCTTCTTTTATTTTTTTTTTTAAATTCTTAGGATTTAGCCCCATGCTCCATTTTTATTGGGTCATTAATAAAAATGCATTGATCATGATGATAGTAATCAGAAAAAATCATACTATTGGGCCCATTTTATTTCTTGCTGTGCTTGGAGATAATTTACATTGGTAGCAATAGATATAACCCAAAATATCACTTATGTAAGTCCCAGGTTTTTAAAATTTGCTTCCTCTCAGTCAAAAGGGTGAAAGAAAAATAAATCTGAAGGTAATGAAAAAGAAGGATGTATTTTTTTTTCCAGACTCCTTCAGGAATAGAACAGACACTAGTTATATCTATACAGCCCCAAAGAAAAATTATATATTTGTATTAATATGTGAAAATGTTGGGAAGAACACTTTTCACATTAATGGAAAGGAATAGATCTTTTTATTCACTACTCTTGCATGAAGTTTAGGAAGAAATTGGAAAAGAAATTGCTAAGAGACTAACCACATGACATTCTGGGATGTGACTAAGGCCTAACAACAGTAAAGCATATCCAAATATAACTTTCATTCGATTATTTTAGGAAGATTTGGCCACATTTAGAGAGACGCTGGAAGTGTTACTGAAGCTCCTGGGAAATGTGTCCCTTTTCATACATTATGGCAATATATAGCAACATGTATTTTTAAAAATCTTTAAAATTTGATTATTCTTTGATCTAATGATTTACTTTTGGGAATTTATCCTAAGAAGATAATCAGAGATATGTGTGAGGTTATATGTAATTGTAAATAACATGAATGTCTAAAATAAAAGTTAAATAAGCTATGACCATATAATAGAATACATGTAGCCTAAAATATTAAAAGGATATTTAGTGATATTAAAATATAATGAAAATTATATGCAGTATAATACCATTTAAAAATGTGCCTATTTCTCCATAAGCTTGACAAAAAGATGAGAACATGAAAAATATTAATACAAAATACTTGAATGGAAATTTCATGGATGATTTTAGTTTTCTTTTTTAAGCTTAATTTTTAAAGTTTTTCAAACTTTCTATATGAAAGTTTCATTGGTTACTAAAATATAATGATTTTTTTTAAAGTAAGGCTCATTTAACTAATTATGAATATATATGAGTAAGTATAAGTTCATTACCAGCACTAGAAAAAAGCTCCAAATCATATGTTCCTTTAAGAATAAACATCACTGTGTAAAAGAACAAGTATTATATTTTTTTGGTTGACTTAAAATATTCTTTTAGCATAATAGGTCCCATATAGGGATCTCTGCCTCTAGAGAATTTCTGCTTAATACCTTTTCAGGACCCTGACCTCAGGCAAAGATCAACGGACAAATATATTCCACCAATCTTGGCATTTCTTCCCTGTGATGTTGTCTGAAATTGTTTAAACATTCTCTTGGGGCATAGTTATTGGCATTTCATGCTCAGTAACGCATTCCTCAATGCGGTGAGAGCTACCCATTTTTTCTGAATGTCATGTGATATTTACATACCGAAATGTCATATGTGACAGAAGAACTGCAAAGTATTTTGAATTTTCCGCAAGTCAGGTTATTGTACTTTCCAATGACCTGACTTTCTTGAAAAATACACGTAATTCCTGCCAAAAATAAACCAGTGATTCTGCTAACCTTGGTAGTACTGATTACTAGAGGCATGGGCCTTATACCTTGAAACTGCAGAAGATATGAAACTATCATTAGAAAATTTATTAGGCTGATTTTAACAAGGCCCTCATTTACTTGAATTTGTGAGAAACTTTCTTATATTCATTCAGAAAATAAATCATTTATAATGCAGTGAGTGGCAATCTATTGGATTTGAGATATTAAAAAGATACAAGGTGAGTAAAATTCTATGACTTGGAGAGAAGCTCATGTAAGGTGAGGATTTCCATTTATTAAGAATTTTTAAAAATAAGTGTAACAAGAGTTCATGTGAAATAATCACTTCTTTAAGGTTATTCATCATTTTTTAACCATCCATTTAAGTAACTTTAGGTTATTTAATTTACTTTCCAAGCATGTCTGAATAGGGAGCAAAACCAAATTTGGTCAAAAGCAAAATATCAGACTGGCTTACTATTCAGTTTATATGAGTTTCATGAACAATAATTCTATCTATTCAGGACTTGTTTTCC